GCGTTTATAGTCGGGTCTTATTTACACTTATTTCCTCCTCAAGCCGAAAAGACCCCGATTTCCCCCCCCGGCGGCCCAATTTTCCTCCATATCTCGGCGACATCGACCTCCAAACGGCCCAAACGGACACGGGAGAGGCAGGAACCGGCGCCCTTCCAGAGGGAGGATCCTCAAAACGCCGAGGAATCGATCGTGGGAGTGGCGCGGCTCTCGGCACCAGCGGCTCGGAGGCGGGGCTCAGTTTTACTCATTTTTCCTCATATTTACTCATATTTACTCATTATTATCCACTCCCTCAAGCCCTAAACTCACCCTTTGCTCTCTGTGACGTCTGTTGGATTACAAGAAGCTTACTATGAGGAGAATGTAATACGGGCAACGAGGTGAAAGGTGAGCGCTAAAAAAAAATTACGTGAATTCTCATTAATTTACGTTAATTCTCATGTCGTTGCATATGCATTGGCTCATTGCAACATTTTCATCGTATCTCTATCCTGTTGCGTGTCACGTAGAATCTAGGTCTTGTCATTGGATCTGTAGTTCATAATTTGCAATAGAGTTTAGTTTATTATATATTATTGCATTTATTTTCTTTGTATTTCCTCGTTTCTTGCCTTTATTTTCTTTGTATTTCCTAGTTTCCTGCCTTTATTTTCTTTGTATTTCCTAGTTTCCTGCCTTTATTTTCTTTGTATTTCCTAGTTTCTTGCCTCTATTTTCTTGGTATTTCCTAGTTTCTAGCCTTTATTTACAGGGTCTTATAGAATAACAAGGGAATTCGGTTAATTTTCCAAAAATGACAACTGGGTCTTCCCTGACAATGTTTATATCATCAGATTTGTTCTCGTGTGATGAGAACGAATCTGATGATATTCTCCGTCGGATTCTCCAGCCGACAATCTTGATGTGTTTTCATAAGTCCCGATAGCAGGGGAGGGCATGAAGTAGATCAGGGAAATTACGGGGTAAAACAGGCTGAAATAACCAAAATAGAGAGCAGAAATGTGTAAAACAAGCACAAAAAACGCTTAAAATCGGATAATGAAACTCTACGGACATCGCCGCCATCTTTCAAAGTCTACGGACCGACGCGCCAAATTTCGAAAAACTCTACGGGAACCAAACCCACCGTTCGGTAAAAATCTACGGGATTTCACATAATCCAGATCCCCTGTGATAATCGTACAATGCGTCCAAACCAACCTAACCTAACCTAACCTAACCTAACCTAACCTAACCTAACCTAACCTAACCTAGCCTAGCCTAGCCTAACCCTGTGGGATTTATACACTACGATCTATACATTCCCTAGCCAGGGGGCTCTGCCCCCTGGACCCCCATGGTATTAAGTGCGCCTAGCCAGGGGGCTACGCCCCCTGGACCCCCGTAGTAATATACCACATACCTTTATAAAACGAAAAACCGAACTATTGTGCGCTTCCGTCCATGGTCAGAATAGCTTGGTTTCTAATCACTTTTTTCGGCATTTGGGGCACTTGTTAGGCTCAAATATCAGGCTTGTATTGAGAATAATGTCTATTTGTCCTGTATATCCACAATATAGTTTTAAAAATAACCCGATGTCGACACAGCACTTGAAATGAAACATTTTTCACCGGTGTTTCTGAGCGAATGGCGGTGGGTCGACCTGTCAAATCTCCCGGTGAAAACGCGCATGCGCAAAAGGTTATTGTATAGAATAACGTAAATAATTACCAAAAGACGCAAGAGAAGTATAATAAAACTAGAAGAATGCATTACATACATGAATTCAGAGAATCAGACGCTAGTAATGACAAAATAAGCGTTCTCACAAGCGCGTAGCAATACATGGACTACTTGCTGGATCGCAGTAATGAGTTACGCGTCACAATTGTTTTGATCTCGCAAGGTAAACATGGAAGGGAACTTAGAAAATGAAGGGTCGAGCTTCTCTCTTCTCTGTCCTATATCTCCCTTATTTTAGATTTGCGCAGTTGTTGCCATAGATGAAAAGTGTCTTACTTTTCGTCAAGGTATCCATTCCATACACTTATTTTACTGTACGATTGGTTGACATGCGCGGAAAATTTTCCGGGAATTCATGTTGTTTGGCTGGTCATTTAGGTTTACAGAGATGTTGTTACAGTTTAGAGGTGACAAGTGTCAGAGATTATTTATTTTTCTTAATTGGACAAAAATGAGTCCTTGCCAAGCACACCTTGTTATAAAAAGGTGATGATAATTCAGGATAAGACTACGTAGAGCGGTGTTTCAGCCTCCGGCAAAACTGGCAAACCTTTCCTGATTATTTTTTGTGGAGTTGGGCTGAGATTGGGTCCTTATTTGGAATAAAATGCTAATATATTCATGGTGTAGCTTTGTTTTCCTTGTTGCATTGTTGTACTTTGCTAGGTAGGCATAGATTCAGAAACTTTGAGAAGTGATTTTGGTATTATGTTTATCTGCTTCTTTTTTTAATTTTTTTTGTCTTACCTGTATTGTTTTTTCCTTTTTTTAATAGCCAGTACCTTTGTCTTTTATTTTATTTCTGCCTACTTATATTCTCAAGAGTCTCCATAAAGTATGTCATTATTTGTGTTATACATTTATTACATACATTGATTTTAAAGTTTGTTAAAGAAAGCCTTTCTCATTATGTTGTTGTGCCTTTCTCATACTTATGTTGTCTGTGTGCCATTTCAAGCCATTCAAATTTTACTGCAAAATGTGATAGAAAGCCTACAATTTGCCACCAAGTCCAATAATGTCAAGCAGATACCACTCCTGTGTCCAAGCAGAGGCCAGAAAAACACCTACATGTATATAATAAGAAGGAGCTTTGATTAATTCTTCATTTGACAAAAAAAATTATCAAGAATGTCTCTAAACTGTCTTGATTTAAAATACATGAGGGAGCTTTGTTACTGTTATTCAGGGTCAGAAGACACAAATAGTGTGGTAGAAGAACAGGTGTGTGTGTGTGTGTGTGTGTGTGTGTGTGTGTGTGTGTGTGTGTGTGTGTGTGTGTGTGTGTGTGTGTGTGTGTGTGTGTGTGATTTATTGGAAAAATTGACACAATTAGAGCATTCAGATTTGGAATTTTCGAAATGCAATCAATTGCAGAAGTCAGGCAAAGGATGTGGATGAAGCATAACAATTTAGGGTTTAGGTTTTATATTTAGGTTTTATATTTAGGTTTTATGAACGTTCTCAGATTATATTCATTGACTGATCCTCGGGAGGGTGTACTTTTAACATGCTCATTGATTTTAGCGATGTAAAAAGACGCAAAGACTGAAATGTTTGTATAAAGTTCCATCTTAATTATTTCTTCATGTAAAGGGCATTATATTCAAGGTTAGTTTCTGCATTATGGAATTCCTTTATGATTAAAGATTTGAATTTGACTTGAAGCTTGATATGAAAAAAATGGTAAAATATTATGATTTTTCTCTATACAGATGTTCATGTCTTAAGGAATTCTGAACTGAATGAGGCATTTTAGATATAATATATGTAACAGTATAAGAAGTGCTTTTGTCTTACTGTTTTCATTGTGTCACATATCAGTGACACATATATTCTGCAATAGAGACAAACCTGTAGTAGTGTATTTGTTTAAACTTGTTTGAGTCATGTATACATAGGAAAAAGATGAATGAAAATTAGTATCTTCAAGTAGAAGAGATATCTGACTGGTTTTGACTATGTCTCCATGATGTATTTCTCATGAAGATATTATCAAAATTGGTCATATACATCTCTTACACTGTGAAGATACTCATTCTCACTCACACCTCTTTTTTACATTTTTTGCAATGAACTCTTTTAGTTACAGGGAATGTAGTAGTAGTTGTTGTTTTTGACATGCGCTTTAGGTTTGTATATCAGACTTCGTGTAGTTCAAGATGTGTGTCGTATGATCTGTTTTCGCAGTTCTTTTTATGTGTTGTATGCAGGCTTCAACAGTTTGGATTGAATTAGACATCTGTTTTATGTAGGCCGTTTTAAATTCTTTAAGTCCTACACTTATAACATTGGCTTTGTCTGAGATAGTACCAATTGTTTATATATCTTGTGTGATTTGGTCTGCCTTCCAGCTGTTTGATTGCTTTTAACTTAACTGTCTTATGGAGACATTTGCTTCAGTAATGTTTGTAAGTTTAGTATTCATCATTTTCTTTGCTTTTAGGTCCTTTGTATTTGAAATAAGTTTGTTCCCTTAATATGGTATAGTATGCATACTGTTTTCAGATTTTTAAAATTTGCTTTTAATTCTTTGTGATAGTACCAACAGGTACTGTATCTCCTGTTGTTTAGTATGTTGCTCAGCTGTTTTGTTGCTTTTGAATTTTCTGAGTGATGGCACCTATTGCAATTTTTTTTGTAGCTGTCTTATCAGTAGATAAATTTTGTGGTACATTGTCTTAAAGGATTCCAGTTTTGTTAAGATTAGATAATGAGAGCTTGGGTGAGTGAGAGAAGGGGCAAGTGAGAGAGGGGACGAGTGAGAGGTGTGATGGTACCTATTGTAATTTTTTTGTAGCCGTCTTATCAGTAGATAAATTTTGTGGTACATTGTCTTAAAGGATTCCAGTTTTGTTATGAACTGTGCTAGTTTTGATTTTTATCTAATCTTGACTTAAAATTGTTATCTCCAAGGCAGTGGCAGTTATTTGAATATGATAGATTAAAGCTCAACAATTAAA